CCCCAAAACCCCAAAACCCCAAAACCCCAAAACCCCAAAACCCCAGACCGACTAATACAAATAGAAATATTTATAGCCATAAATAAAACATGCTAAATATCGCTAGACACAAAGAGGCTGCTCGCAGCCTAGCCTGGATGTCTCTACGGAATAAAAGCTTCAAACAGGTTAGAAGAGACCAAGAGAACAGGATATACACATCCATGGCTGAGATCAACAGGATTAGGAACATCGGAATCATTGCTCATATTGATGCAGGAAAAACAACTACTACTGAAAGGATGCTCTATTATTCAGGCACAATAGAAAATCCTGGTGAGGTAAGTCCTTTTTGTATTCCAAAATAACATTTCTTAGGTTCATCATGGAAATACAGTAATGGACTACCTTGAGCAAGAAAGAAAAAGAGGAATCACGATTAGAGCGGCCACCACAAGCTTTAAATGGAGAGGCCTGAATGCAGACGACTTCTACCAAATTAACTTGATAGATACTCCTGGACATGTTGACTTCACTGCTGAAGTAGAAAGATCCCTAAGAGTCTGTGATGGAGCTATTGGAATCTTTGATGCAATGCAAGGAGTTGAAACTCAGACAGAGACAGTATGGCAGCAATCAAACAGGTTCGGAATCCCAAGACTCGGGTTTATCAACAAATTAGACAGAATAGGAGCTGATATCGAGACGACTCTGGATTCAGTTCGGAATAAACTCAATAGCGTTCCTCTCCTTGTAAATATTCCTTCAGGAGAAGATGCATCCTTTGATGGGATTGTTGATCTTGGAACAATGAGGCATTATTCTTATCTTGATGATCTTGGAAAGATGGTAGAAGTTGAAGACTGTGATAAAGACCATTTTGCTTACGAAAAAGCCATGTTTTACAGAGATAGACTGATTGAAGATCTTGCAGAAATAGATGATACTATTGCTGATAAATATCTTGAAGGAGAATTTATCTCACACATTGATATCAATAACTCCCTGAGATATTGCTTAAGAACTAAGAATTCTGTTGCCCTTCATTGTGGAAGTGCATTGAAGAATAGAGGAATCCAGCCGTTATTAGAAAATGTGGTTAACTTGCTCCCATCTCCTCAAGATACTGAGAGCATTTCAGGATCAGATGTTTCTACCGGACAGAAAATTTACAGATTTTCTAATCCTAAAGACAAACTCTGAGCTTTTGCTTTCAAAGTTGTTGCTGATCCTATTAGAGGGCTTGTTACCTTCTTTAGGGTTTACTCAGGAACCTTGAAGAATAGGACTAAAATTATGAACTCAAAAACAGGAAGAATTGAGAAAATAACCCAACTCTTCAGAATGACAGCAGATGAAGTTACAAATATCGAAGAACTTGGTGTTGGAGACATTGGAGCTATCACTGGAGTCCATAACATAAGATCAGGAGATACCTTTATCCAAGAAGATGATCCTGAGCGTATCCAACTCTCAGGAGTCTCAATTCCTCCTCCAGTATTCTTTTGCTCCATCGAGGCTGAACTTTCCCGAGACCAGAATAAGCTAGCACAGGTGATCCAAGATCTCACCTATGAGGATCCTAGTATCTCAGTCTCTGAGAACAGGGATACTGGGCAACTCCAGATCAGCGGAATGGGAGAACTTCACCTTGAGATCCTGAAAGACAGAATTGAAATAGATTATGGAATCAAGGCTTTCCTTGGCACCATGAGGGTTGCCTACAGAGAATCTGTCAGTGGAAAGACAAGACATACCTTCACCGTCGATACTAAGAAAGCTGGGAAGTCAATCTTTGCAGAACTCACTCTTGAAGTTGAAGGTCTTGAAGTAGATCATGGAGAAGCAGAGGAAGTTGCTGAAGCTGAAGAGTATGTCCTCGATAATCTTTCGGAGAAAACTACTGCTGATAGCAGTACTCAGCACACAGATGCAGAAAAATATAACAAGATCACAAGAGATTACCTCAAGCTTGAGAAACGTTCTGAAAGAAAGAAGGTTGATGATGACAAACTGATTAAGAGAGGAAGATCTAGAGAAGTAAAAGGTGAAGATTTTGAGTTGTTAAGATCTCTTGATTCAGCATCAGCAGAGATCTTACTAGGCATAGAGGATGCCATCAATACCTCCCTGGAGAGTGGACAACTTCTTGGATACCCAATCGTCCACACTAGAGTTAGAATTGTTGATGGAAAATGGTCTAGCCTTAGATCTGACGAGCTAACTTTTAAAGAATGCGCTGCAAGATGAATGAAAGAAATCTTTATGAAGAGTAATAAAAATCTCCTTGAGCCTTACATGAGAACTGAGATCCAAATTCCAGAATATTGTCTAGGAGATATTGTGTCAAATATTTCAGGAAAGAAGGGAGGAAAGATCATTAGCATCAACAATGTTAAGCAAAAATTCTCTGATGATATTGGTAAGATACCTTTCAACTAATATATAGACTCCGGTAGAAATATTTTAAAATGCCTTCTTCCTCTGAGCCAGATAGTTGGCTACTCAAAGTACCTCAGAAGTGTCACAAAAGGAGAGGGTACTTTCATCATGGCATTCTCCCATTTCCAGGCTCTAAGTGAAGAGATGCAAGCAGAAGTGCTAGATAATCCTTTCTTTTAAATAAAATCTTATCTTCACTCTTTGAAATATAGATTCATTACAAGTACTGGGTTCCTAGATTCTAAATGGAAGCCTAGCTTAGGGGCTCAATAATTTATATAATTTCAGGAAAATTATATAATCTTGGGGTTTTGGGGTTTTGGGGTTTTGGGGTTTTGGGG